TTTGATTGGGAATTGAAACACAGTCAGGAAAGTATGTACAACTGTGTCAAAACATAAATCACTACAGTGCTGATCGCATACGCACGATTCGCGCCACTCAATCATAACAATTCGCAGGAAATTTCCACACGCAACGTTTCGCCTGCATTTGCGTTTAGCATCCTCACAGGCCCCGGGACGTGCCAGTTTGGCGTCGTAAAAACTGGCGGCGATAAATTAGTCCGGGGGGGGCAAAAACCGCCCAGATATGATTTAAATGTGACGTTTTCGGTAAGTTTCAACCTTTTAGTAGACGTTACGGTTTGGCTGGTGGCTCGTAAAAGAGGCCGCACGTGAAAATTTCCCTTGATTTATCGTCGCCCAAGAACAATGAACGTTGCCGGCTAATTTATGCTCGACGGGCGTTAATTGTCAGCAGGGAAAATCCCCGAATAATCTGGAAAATCCACTGCAGCAAGGAACGGCGGAAATAGTTAATGCTAACTGGAAACTATCGTTGAGTTCCCTGAACTTCTCCGGCCATAATCATACACTGTTTTTTTGTATTTTATCCAATTGCGCTTGGGAAAGCAATTTTCCCGGCAATTTTCCCCGGAAAAACTCGCATCCACTTTCCAAAACACGCATTAAAACTTTCCCTCGATAATGCCAGTTTTTTCCTGCATGAGAATTACGATGTCATATGAAAAGTGCCCCAATAGGGAAACGTGAATTTTTCAGGAGACGAGAAAAACGTTTCAGAGTTAAAGAAATGTTGGTCTCATGCCTTGAAATCTACATCATTGTGATGGAAAGGAGTCGAGGAATAGAAGGAAATATTTGAAAAACACGCCAGAAGTTTCAGCTCCGAAAAAAACCGATATTTTTCGGTCATTTTAGGCGTTGGAGCACTCACGATCTTTAATCGACGATTTATTCCCTATTATTGATCCAAACACTGTACAAATGCACTTTTGCGAGTTTCTTAGGGCGAAAGGAAACGATTGAGCGCAAAAAGACGCATGCGAAATTTTGATTTTTTGCCGAAATTTTTCTGAGGCTGAGGGTCGATTTTTTGAACAAAATATGAATTTGCTCAAAATGCCTTGAAACCTACATCATTGTAATTTCAAGGAAGCGAGGAATGGAAAGAAATACTTGAAAAACACGCCAGAAGTTTCAGTTCCGAAAAAACCGATATTTTCGAGTC